TCAGCAGAGGGTTTGGGGTGCAGGTGGGGCTGGGCACTTCCCTTCCAGCCCCCGCGCCCCCATGAGAGGGAGGGAACGGGGAGAAGCGAGCCCGCTCAGGGCTCCTGCGAGGGATCCAAACGGTGCAGCCAGGCCGGGACCCCAGGGGCGATGGGAATGATGGGGGCAGCGGCTCCCTGCCTGCACTTCGGCTCCCTGCCTGCACCCGGGGGTGGATCAGATCAGCACCAGCCTCCGCCCTGCCGGGATGTGTCACCGAACCCCGAGGTCTCTCCACACCTGGCCCACCCCGGGCTGCCTGTTTGCAGGGACTGGAGCCAAGCCCTGCCGGCCTGGCCTACACCGGTGCAGGAATCGTGGCCCTGCCAGCCAGCGTCGGCGTGCGGTGGCTCCCCGCGCGGCACGGCGCTTACCTGCGCGGAGGCGAGCATCTCCAGCTCGCTCAGGCGCTCTAGCACTTGCCGCATGTCGTCCTGCAGGGCTCGGACAGTGCTGGCCACGTGGGCGTCCAGCTCCGCCAGCAGCCCCTGGGCGAGCTCGGGGGCGTTCCCAGCATCCCGCTCTCCCCCGGCGAGCCAGAGATCTGTGGGGCACAAAGATGGGTGCTGCTCAGAGGCGGCAGGGCAGGCACACAGCGCGTGCGGCAGTGCTGCCGGTCCGGATCGGGCAGGGCAGGCTGAGCACCACCTCACGCTCCCCGAGGACCCCCAGAGCTGGCACGGCCCACTCTGCGTGCTGTCGCCCAACAGCGAGCGACGGATCTCATCAGGTGCCTGCACCGCACCATGGGCTGCCCACGTGCCGCTGGCTCTGCCCGCACCGCAGTGCTCCAGGCAGAGCTGGGAGCCCCCAGCCCAGCAGCCCACCTCCCCCTCCACCAGCCGGCGCCGGGCCTGTCCCCGGGGACATGGGCCACCACGTCCCCCCAGCGCAGTGGTGGTGGCAGCGGGTGACCTCCGGCCCACCGATGCAGCGGGTGCGGCAGTGCACGTGGGTCACTGGTGGCAGCGGGTGACCTCCCCCCCACCGATGCAGCGGGTGCGGCAGTGCACGTGGGTCACCTTGCTTCACCCGGTGAAGGCGGGACGCCAAACGCCAGGCAGGATGCCTTGCCTGCACGGCTGCCTCCCTGCCAGGCCCTTGGGCTCAGTGGAGGCCCCAAACCAGCCTGGCTGCAGCCCGGCAAACACCCGGATAATCTGTGCTACGAACAGGAGACGGGCAGGGGCTCGCTGCCAGCCCCCACGCGTGCCAGCATGCCGGGGGACAGCCCAGCCCGGCTTTATAGGCCTCGTTACAAGTTAACTCCCAAGGTCAAGCAGCCTGGGAGGGTTTGCGGAAACATTAATGGGGGGAAGATAAGCATGAGACGGGTGGGCTGTGCCCAGGTGAGGCGGCGGCACCACCCCTGCCGTCCCACGGGTGAGGGTGGCAATGCCACCCTGGAGCAGAAAGCCCCCCGGGACGTGTCTTGGGAGAGCCGCAGAGGTTGGCAGGAGGCTCCTTGTCCCCTCTCCGCAGCAGCACAGCCCAGGGCCTGGCCGTCCTCAAATGCCGGCAGCAGCGGCGGGTGGCGTTAGGCAAGTGGTACCGCAGGAGCAGGGCGTCCCTGGGACCCGCACCTCCACGGCCACAGGGCCCAGCTTCACCCACTCCCCTCCTGGGGAGAGCTCACCCGCCCCCCCAGCACCACCCACATCCAAAGGCACCGGGCAAAGACGCCGGCAGCAGGGACCACGGGCAGGAGCTGGGCGCAGGCAGCCAGAGATCCGCACTCCCCGCCCGGCTGCTGGAGAGGAGCCAGCAGAGCATCCTCCAAATTTAGGCAATTTAGCACCGTTGCAAGAAATGGGCAACACAGGGGATGTGTCCTAAGGGGGCAAAGACACCAAGCTGCTTGGGGACCAAGGGATGAAGAGAGGGGACGCTCAGGACTTCCCGCGGCTGCTGAACAACCCACCCCTGGGTGCTGGAGCCAAACTCTGTTCCCTGTTGGTGGTCGCAGCCCTCACCTCTCCGCTCAGCCCCCGCACAGGCACCCCGCGCCCCCCGACATCCGGCCCTGCTTGCCGGGAGGTGGGGAGGGAGCAGCGGGAAGGCGCGCAGGAGCCAAACGCTGCACCCACCTCTCTCGGAGCCAAGGGCTGCGAGGCCAGCGCTGCTCCTCCCCTCTAGTCTTCTGCCTTCACCCCGCTCTCCCTGCCCAGCGCCGCCGTTCGGGGAGAGACCCAGTGGCTGCCCAGCCTGCGCGAGGGGAGAGAAGAAGGGCCCTGAGACCCCCGCTCCCCTCCCCGGGGGCTGCGGGAGCGCGGCAGGCGAGAGGCGGGCAACGCCAGGGCAGCGGTGGTGTCTCTCCCCCTGCCTTGCGGTGACATTTTTGGTGGTGGAGGTCGCGTGGGGCTGAGCGAAGCCGAATCCCACCGGCAACACCAGGTAGCACAGGATTCGGGACGCGACAGAGTTAACCCCAGAGAGAAGTGAGGTGTCCAGGCTCGAGATGGCGAAAGAGCTCCAGGAAGAAGCCAGGCAGATGGGCGGTTTCCTCCCTCCTGCCCACCAGATCCGCCAAGCCTCGCCGTAGCACCTCAAGCGCCGAGCGCTGCGGGTGGCAGCCGAGCTGTCCGGTAGCGGGGAGCAGAGAGCGGGTGGCAGGGGTGCAAGCAAGGTGCCCGCACCAGCCCCACTCCGGGCTACCAGCCTCACTCAGCCCCGGCAGCCCACCAGTGCCCCACCGGAGCTGTGCCGCAGGAAGGAGGGGGGTTGTGGGTGGTGCCAGGGCGTGCCAAGGGCTCCTCAGCCTCCCCTCGGTGACGGGGACCAGGCTCCAACAGGGACACAAAGCACAGAGGGGTGCAGCCGGGTGGCCCCGTCAGTTTTGGGAGTCTCACCGGGCTCCCAGGATGGCGGTACCGAGCAGCAACGTGGCAGTGCCGCGGTGGTGGGCAGAGCTGGGGCAGCTGACAATACAGAGAGATCTGCCGGTACAGCACAGGCAGGGCAGGGCTGGCAGCAGGCAAAGCCTCTGCCACGGTGCGGCAGGACCCCAGCGCTTCCCAGCCCTCCGTTACCTGCTCAGGTTCCATCTGCTCCAGGGTGTCGCAGTACACGTCCCCCTCGGAGTCACTGGTCACCTGGCTACCCTCAAGCGCCTCAGCGGCAGGAGCCAGCCCACCTCCTGGAACGGAAGCACACGGCTCAGCCGTGGGCAGCGCCGGTGGGGCAGAGAGGCGTTTCAGCCGTGACCGGAGGGCAGCAGAAGCTCAGCGCAGCCGCAAGGCAACAGGTCCGCAAGCGGGCAGGAAGGCAGCGTCTGCATGCACGAGGCGAGGCAGAAGGAAACAGGCACAGAGGGGGAAGGAACCGGCTCTGTTACTACTCCCCAGATCGTGGCCGTGAATCCAAGGACCAAATTCCCCCTTCTCCTGCCCACGGTGTTGCAGAGCCCCGCTCACGGGCAGGCACGCCCCGACACGGTGCCATTTTAGGGTAGGTTTCTCTGCCCACGTGCGACTCCCACCCGGGGAGAGGGCTGCCATGGTGGCCAGCCAAAACCCCGGTATGGTGGGGAGCCCCTCCAGCAGGAGCCACGGCCCCAGCTGCTCTGGCAGGGAGCAGGTACCGTTCACACAATGCCAACCGCCACCGGGGTGGCAGCGCGCCCCGCTGCACAGGCAGGGACGCTGCCCAGCTCCCCGCACGCTGCCAGCCCGGGCACACTCGACGATGGGCACGGCCTGGACACAGGCGCTCGCTCGGTGACCGTATATGTTCCTCGGGGGAGGGCCGGGCTGGCGGCGGGAGGAACGCCTCCCCGGAGCACCCTACCCAACCCAGGGCACAGCAGAGGCCCCTCCGGGCCGGGAGAGCCGCGTGTGCCCTTGAGGGAGGCACGAGGAGGTGGGTGGGTGAGTATACAAGGGGCTGTACAAGAAAAGCCAGGACCAAGGCGTTAGCCATGGCACAGGCAGGGAGGGCCGGGGCTCGGCACCGCGGCTCCCGGTGCCACGGAAGGGGCGGACTTGGCTGGAGTCGAGGGAGAACATCCCCTTGCGGAACAATGACCTTCCAGGGCGACATTTTCCCATTCCACAGGGAAACACCCTCGCCTTCTCACTGCGGTTTAGCAGAATCAGGCCCCTTTGCACAGGTAAGAGCAACGCAGAGTCAAACCAACGCACCCAGGGTTACCCCAGCGTTGAGAACGGCGCCAAGAGCTGGACCCACAAAAAGCTCCAGCTTGCCGTGACTCAGGCAACGCCTGAAACACCGGCGGGGTTGGACCAGAGGTGCCGGAAGCCAACAGCTCTGCGGGTGGACAGAGGCCCAGCCCTGTCGCCGGTGCCTCCTCCACGGGGTCTCTGCCGGGTGCTGGCCACACCAGGGAGACCAACCTGGCACGTGCTGCCCGTTCCGCTGCTCCCCAGGCAGGGCGTCTTCGGTGTGCTCCGGAGCCGGGCTGCTCGCTGGGTCATCCTGGCTGGGGTCGGCCGTCCGCTCCTGACTGCCTGCGCAGAGGGGAAGGGGCAGAGGAGAATTAAAGCGTTGCAGGTGCAGGCTGTCTGCGGGCTGGGCTCAGCACTGCTTCCCTGCCAGCACGGCTGGGGGACATGCGGACGCGGGGCCACCCTCCTGCCAGGCAGGCCGGCAGTGTCCGGACACGCGCAGCGGCTGGCAGAGACGGAGAGAGGCCGGCTCCATTTGCCAACGGCCCAGGAATCAACGCGAACTCAACCAGTCAGCAGGGTCTACCCCGTGCAGACCGTCTCGCTCACCCGTCCCCCGTCCCCCGAGGCCCTGCAGCAGCAGGCAGAGGGATCAGCACTGGCCAACAGCTGGGTAAACACCGACGGGTGACAGCCACCGTCCTTGTCCCCTGGCAGGGCACACAGCGCGTCCACGGTAACGAACACAGCCTAACACAAGAAGCGTTGGCTGGGGAGAGCCTTGCCTCTGTTGTGGCAGCGCACACCGCCATCGCCTGCGAGGGCTTTCAGCAGGCAGCAGCACCCCAGAGAGGGCCCGGGGCAGCTGCCTGCCCGGGGATCCAGCTCTCCCCACCGCCCCGCGGAGCCCACGGGGTTAAGGCCAGACACGCAGCATTTCCAGCGGCCCCCAGGACTTTGCTCCCTGCTCCTGGCCAGGCAGGTATGTGGCAACGCTGCCCTGCCTGCGCCCGCACATCTCCGCCATTCCCTACCTGCCTTCGCCATCACAGCAGGCCCAGGCTGTGGGACCCCCCAGAGCCCAGCCCAGGTGACTGAGTCCCCTGAGGGGGTACAAGGGCAGCCGTCACCCCGCACAGGAGTTAGGGCCAGGGCTGCTCTGCTCAGGGACCGTCACTGTCCCCAAATCCCTCCTCAGCGAGTGTGCTGTGACCCCTAAGCCCGCCCCACAGGGTGGGTGGGCGCAGGCAGGGTCCCGTCACCTTGCACATCACCGCCTGGCTCCAACACCGTCCCGTCCGCGCCTGCGGGGCTGGCAGAGCGGCATCGGGCCTGTGCGTAAGGGCTTAATTGTTGGTCCCAGTTGCTTCAGAGTCTCGGCCTACGTGTTACAAGACACTGGTGAAAGCTCCGCTGACTGGAGACCTGTGGGGACCCTGAACCATTCACGATTTGGGTTCCAAGTGCCACTTTACGGTGTATTGACTTTGTAAATAAAAAAACGCAAACCTGCCCGGACTCCCACCATGCAGCACCTCTGTCCCCCAAAAGCTCCACAGCTGCCAAGGGCCCCACGCCTGCCACGCTCCGCTCTCACCTGCCGCAGCACCTAAAATCACCTTTCTCCTCTGGATTATCAGTAACAAAAGCTGCAATCGCACAAAATTGGAAGGCGGGTTTGAGAACCTTTAACACAAATGACTCAACAGCTTAAGAAGTTCAGCGGTTTAATCCACCGTTTCAGGCACCTCGGGCTCATTTGCTCCACAGACACTACCAGGTTTAGATTTAAGTGCCAGTGTCATTTATAAGTGCCACTAGCACAGGATGACACTCCCAAGCAGGTAATGACCAGGAGTTTAGACCCAGCCTTTATGTTCCAGAGAAAAATTAAGTCTATTTGCCTTTTAAAGGGATTCAGCATCAAAATGGAGAACAAAAGCACCTGGGTACCACAGGAAGGCGCAGCCATCCTGAGGCCAAGCCTTACAGACAACGTGTTTTCAGCATCCTTGTTGGAAGCAGGGGGTGACAGTAGCTGTCAGACACAGGACAGATGCCTGGGCACATGCGGGGAGCGAGTCTATTCGTCAGCACTCTTCCAACATTAGCAAAGCACTGACAGTTTACACACCCGCTGCGAATACACCCCGAAAGCTCACGTGCTGCTGAGCTAATCTACTGGAAATGCGGCACAGCCAAACCTCCAGACGTGCAGCTGGCAGGTTCGCTCTGCGGTAGCCAACACCTTTCTGAACCAACATGTCCAGCCCCTTACACACTCGGACACTTCTCACAAGTCAGATACACCGAGGACTGCCCTGCTCCAGGGGTGGGACGGGTCCCCAGTCACCTCTCAGCACGAGACAGCAGCCACGGGCATGGAAAGGGCTGGGAAGGACTCTTCTCTACCACAGGGCGGTCCCAGTAATCACGTTTCTGAACCCCAGTTTCTCCACATCCACTCCACTGCAAAAACTGGCCGGCCTATCCAGATGTTTACATCAGATGACCTGCACTCCCTGCACACAGCCCGCCCTGCCTGGAGGAGGGCCAGCACCAAGAGAAAGCACAGCCTCCCTGCCGCAGCACTCCACGGGAGCTGATCCCCTGCTCTACCATGTACAGAGATTTGGGCCAAGGCGCATTTGGAAGCCAAATCTCAGGTTCTCTCCTCAAAGTTTTGCAGAGAGAAAGCCCAGACTGAAAAGACACCTGCGTCACCTGAGGAGACGCTTGTCTGGTGGTGCCCAAACAAGCACCTCATCAGCAGCTGCACCATGGCAGGGGCACCAGATGGGGCGTGGTGTGTCCATCCTGTCCCCCCCTAAGGGAGCAGCCCTGGGGAAGAGCTGAGCCCAGAGGTGACGGCGCCCTGGGGAAGAGCTGAGCCCAGAGGTGATGGCCATACCGGTGCAGAAGCAAGCAGGGAACAGCAGGAGTGATGTGTCAGGAGAGGAGTGTGACACAGAGGTGAGGGATGTGCTGGGCACAAGCAGAGTGCAAGAGGCTCCCACTCACCCCCCTTCCTCTTGAAGAAGGCCTCGGGGGGCCGGGGCATGTCGTGGATCACCTCGTAGAGCGGCTTGAAGTACCCAAACATCTCCTCCGTCGTCTCGTCCATGGGCACCGTGTCAATGATCTGGGGAGGGATGCAGCTTGCATCGAGCACCACTGAGCACCCCACCCACCCTCCCCCTCCCCGTTACCTTTTGGGCCACCTTCTTCATCTCAGCCACATAAGCCGCCATCGCCTCCTCCTTGGACATCCTCCCCAGGCTGTGCCAGGCATCCCTGCG